TGTCGGTGTGTGTTTCAGTGCTTTGGGATGTCCTCCCGACATGAAAGGTGCTCTCTAAATGTCATTTTGTTGTTGTTGTTGTTGTGTGGTGCGTGTCCGTGCGTGTGGCGTGTGTGCGTGTGGCGTGTCTGTGTGTGTCCATGTGTGTGCGTGTGTGTCTGTGTGTGCATGCGTGTGTGGGCTTGAACCCACAACCTTCTAAAACCCCCATCGCCCTTTTGAAATAAAACCAGTCGAGGTGGGGTGGGGGGGGGGCGCGGACAAGTTAGCCCCATTTATCCCCCCCCAGCCTCTCAGCCTCAAAATTTTTGGGGGTCAGAGAAAAAATCCACCCCCCCCCCACCTCTGGTATTACCCTTTTAATTCAGAATAAAATAGAACTCGTCTAGTTTTTCCAGAGACCTATTGCTGTCAGTTCCCCCTTTAACACTGAGCACACACACACATACATACGCACACATACACACACACACACACACATACAGACACACACACATACAGACAGACACACATACAGACAGACACACAGACACACAGACAGAGAGAGAGAGAGAGAGGGGGGGAGAGAGAGAAAAAACGCAAGCTTGTTGGGATTTGCGTTAGTTTGCAGAGATAGGTGGTGAATCGTAAAGGAAGAGAGAGAAATATTAGCAGAAAGTAGCTTTATTTTTTAAGGGAGAGACGGGGGGGGGGGGGGTCGGGGTGGGGGGGGGACAGACAGACAGACAGAGAGGGAAAGAGAGAATTCAGACTGTAGGTCAGACTGCCAGAGGTATCTGCAGTTAAACCCTGATGCTATATTTTTATATATATATATATATATATATATTGAGTGGGGGGGAGAGAGGGGGGAGAGAAGGGAGGTGGGGGGGGGGTTCCGTTTAAAAAAGACAGGGTTTGGCTGTGAGTTGGGATGTGAAGTGGGGGTCAGTCACACACTGAAGGGACCACACACACCAAAAAATAACCCCATCTTTCATCCTCCCTCCCTCTCCCCCTCCCTCCCCTCCCTCCCCCCCACTGATGTGAAGCTTATTGCTGGGGTGGCGGTGGGGGGGGAGGGGGTGGTGATGGTGATGGGGGGTCTGCACCTATGGTTTGGGGACCCCTTTTAAACACCAAACAGCGGATTAAACCATTAAACCATTAAACCGGGGCACCTCAGGTCAACCGGTCTCCAGGAGCTTTAGGAATCGCAGGTAAAACCCATCGTCTTCTTATCCTCTTCTCTTCTCTCGTCGTTCCACTCAAAAAAAAATACCCTCTTATCAGTTGAATTCCAGACGTGTGTCTGTTCCCATCAATATCTCTCTCTCTCTCTATATATATATATATATGTGTGTGTGTATATCTATAGGGGGTATTTATTGGGTGTGATAGACGTGTGTGGGTTAAAGTAATGTTAATAAGAATCACAATGTTCCTCCCATTCGATGTAAAGTCTTATCACGTCTTCGAGATGCTTCACAATGCGTTTCACAGGAGATTTATATGTATGTGTGTGTTATGTATATTATATCTCTGCCCATAGCTGTACCCCGTAAAGTGTGGTGACTGTGTGTTTTGTGGGCGAAACGCAGCGGCTCTCAACTGCGCACAGCGACGTCCGACAATCATTCGTGGATTGAATCGGCAAATTATTATCTTTTATTATTTATTCATTCGGAAGCGATTTAGACATTGGTCTTAAATCACTGGAGTGGGGCAGAGCTGTGACTTTAAACACTGTAGGTGGAGGGGGGGGGGGGGGGGGGTTCTGTGTGTGTGTCTCTGTGTGAGTGTCTCTGTGTGTGTGAGTGTCTGTGTGTGTGAGTGTCTCTGTGTGTGTGAGTGTCTCTGTGTGTGTGAGTGTCTCTGTGTGTGTGAGTGCCTCTGTGTGTGAGTGTCTGTGTGCGAGTGTTTCAGTGTGTGAGTGTCTCAGTGTGTGTGAGTGTCTCAGTGTGTGACTGTGTGTGAGTGTCTGTGGTAGTGTCTCTGTGTGTGAGTGTCTGTGTGTGTGTGAGTGTCTCTGTGTGTGTGTCTGTGTGTGTGTGTTTGTGTGTGTGTTTCAGTGTGTGTGGCGTGTGAGTGTGTGTGTGTGAGAGAGTGTTTCTGTGTGTGTCAGTGTTTGTGTGTGTATGTGTGTGTGTGTGTCTCTCTGTGTGAGTGTCTGTGTGTGTGTGAGTGTCTCTGTGTGTGTGAGTGTCTCTGTGTGTGTGAGTGTCTCTGTGTGTGAGTGTCTCTGTGTGTGTGGTGTCTCTGTGTGTGTGAGTGTCTCTCTGGGTGTCTGTGTGTGTGAGTGTCTCTCTGGGTGTCTGTGTGTGTGTGAGTGTCTCTCTGGGTGTCTGTGTGTGTGTGTGTGTGTGTCTGTGTGTGTTGTGTGGTGTGTTCTGTGTGTGTGAGTGTCTGTGTGTGTGTGTGTTTCTGTGTGTGTGTAGTGTCTGTGTGTGTTTGTGTGTGTTTGTTGTGTGTTTGTGAGTTGTTTCTGTGTGTTGAGTGTTTCTGTGTGTGTGTGTTTGTGTGTTTGTGTGTGTGTGTGATTCTGTGTGTGTGTTTCTGTGTGTGAGTGTTTCTGTGTGTGTGTGTGTGAGTGAGTGTTTTTGTGTGTGTGTTGAGTGTTTCTGTGTGTGAGTGTTTCTGTGTGTGTGTGTTTCTGTGTGTGTGAGTGTTTCTGTGTGTGAGTGTTTCTGTGTGTGTGTGTTTCTGTGTATATGAGTGTTTCTGTGTGTGTGTGTTTCTGTGTGTGTGTGTGTTTCTGTGTATATGAGTGTTTCTGTGTGTGAGTGTTTCTGTGTGTGAGTGTTTCTGTGTGTGTGTGTTTCTGTGTATATGAGTGTTTCTGTGTGTGAGTGTTTCTGTGTGTGTGTGTTTCTGTGTATATGAGTGTTTCTGTGTGTGTATGTTTCTGTGTGTGTGTTTCTGTGTGTGAGTGTTTCTGTGTGTGTGTGTTTCTGTGTGTGTGTGTGTTTCTGTGTATATGAGTGTTTCTGTGTGTGTTTCTGTGTGTATATGAGTGTTTCTGTGTGTGAGTGTTTTTGTGTGTGTGGGGGGGAGGGGTGATTTGAGTAAAAGATAATAATATAAGTATTTTTAAATGATACAGTCTGATAAGAGGCAGCCTGTGAACACAGCTGGTTGGGGGCTGGTTTGAAGCAGGTTGAATAAATTAATTTTTAATGTCATGTGTTCAGTGAATGTTCACACTGGGTTTAAAGGTTACTAATATTCTCTCTTACCATAGAAAGATGGGCAAGACTTAATAACACTTAGAAGCGCCAGGAAAGCAGGTGATTTAATTGAGGGAATGTTTTTTATTTTTTGGGGGTTGGGGAGAGGAAAGGTTCTCCCCTTCCTTATATTAGTCAGGCATTAATTAAGCTGTGAGTGAATTATCACCCCAAGTCCCCACCAGGGAAAGGTTTAATAATAATAATAATAATCACGAGGCGTCACAAAGGGCTTCACAGAATATATTGTAAAGTGGAGTGACTGTGTATTTTGTGGTAATTATATTTGTACTTATTTCAATCTATTATAATTTGATTTGATTGTATTTCTAGATGGGGGGAGGGGTTTCACTTGACAGTGTCCAGGTGGGTTTGAAATCACATCTCGACCCTCTCCCCACCCCCAAATCCACTCCCCATGCCCCCATGATAGTTTAAAACCCGATGTGGGGGGTGGGGGGTATTTTTAAGTGGGGAGTGAACATTCCCATAGCTTTTGCTATTGTGTGTGGAAGTGCCTCTCAGGCTGGGGAATGTCCCTCGATTCATTCGCACTCTCCTCCTTCCTGTGAAATTCCAGTCGAAGGCAATGCTTCAGACGTGAGAATTCTTACCATCAGAAACACGCTCACAAGTCTGTGCGTCTCTAACAATCTTTGTATTTCAAGATCCTCGCACTCGCCTGCAAATCACTTCCCGGCAACTCCCTTTACCTCTCCGACCTGCTTCACTCCCCTCTCCATCACTCATAATCATTTGCTCGCTCAGTCCACGACTGCTTGTGAGCCACTGCTGTGCGCAATTGGCTGCTGTGTTTCGCCCACAAACTACATAGTGACTATTTGTTGGTGCGCTCTCCTCGCAAGCGAGAGGCCACGGGTTTGATTCCCCGGGCAGGGCGAAACCTTGGGCAAGTTTCCTTACTCCACACACCTCTGTTTACCCGGCAGTCTGTAGGAACCCGGTTGTTAGTCGATTGGCGGATCGCTTTCCGGGGGTAATAATCCCTCCAAATGTTTCTTTTAAGCCAGACAATCCACGACTTTTTGTGGGACACCGCTGTGCGCAATTGGCCTATAAAACACACAGTCACTCCACTTTACAGTGTATCCTGTGAAGCGTTTTGAGACGTCCTGATGACGTGATAAGGCGCCGGGTCAAATAAGAACAGAAGAACATAAGCATTAGGAGCAGGAGTCGGCCATTCGGCCCCTCGAGCCTGTGCCCCGCCATTCGATAAGATCACGGCTGATCTTCTGACCCAACTCTAATTACCCCCATATCCCCATATCCCCCAATCCCTCTGTTTTTAAAAAATCTATCAGTCTCAGCCTTGAAAAATTCCATAAATTCACTGCCCTCTGAGTGAAGAAATGTTTCCTCAACTCTGTTCTAAAGGCTGACCCTTAATTTTCAGACTGTGACCCCCGGTTATAGATTCTCCCACCGGGGAAACAGACCCTCAGTGCCTACTTTATCCGCCCTTTAAGAATCTTATACGTTTCCATAAGATCTCCCCTAATTCTTCTGTACTCTGGAGGATACCAGGATTGATATCATAATAGCAGTGGTGTTTGTGTTGGAGCGGCTGGTGGTGGGATGTTGCTGGTTTTAGCTGACGAATTTGGCTGCTGTACTGTGTGTTTTGTTGAGAGCCCTTATGTGGACTTTCAGACACTCAAAACAAAACGAACGACCGATTTGTGAAACTCTCAGCTCCAGTTCCAGTTCCCCCGTCAGTACTCCATTGCGCCCACACGGCGGCGCTGCTGCACCGCACAAAGCAGCCGTGCAATGGCGCAGGTGGGCACCAGGCGGCGCTGTTTGGGTTACAAACTCCTCAGCGTTAACCTCCAATCTCCACACTGCCTCCACACTCCCAGGTCAGGGTTAGAGACACAGTAACACAGTCACTACACTCCCAGGTCAGGGTTAGAGACACAGTAACACAGTCACTACACTCCCAGGTCAGGGTTAGAGACACAGTAACACACAGTCACTACACTCCCAGGTCAGGGTTAGAGACACAGTAACACAGTCACTACACTCCCAGGTCAGGGTTAGAGACACAGTAACACACAGTCACTACACTCCCAGGTCAGGGTTAGAGACACAGTAAACACAGTCACTACACTCCCAGGTCAGGGTTAGAGACACAGTAACACACAGTCACTACACTCCAGGTCAGGGTTAGAGACACAGTAACACACAGTCACTACACTCCCAGGTCAGGGTTAGAGGCACAGTAACACACAGTCACTACACTCCCAGGTCAGGGTTAGAGACACAGTAACACACAGTCACTACACTCCCAGGTCAGGGTTAGAGACAGAGAGCTGCTGTTAGTTGTCGTGTCGCTGATCTCCGGCTGCTCTTGTGTTTCAGAAGCTCTTCCACGTCGCACTGGGGAGAAGCTATGAACGGTGACACGACAGCTTGGACGGACCCTCGCTCCTCTCCCGGGACCCCTGACCCCCCCAGTTACTATGACGCTGTGTGCCCCCTGCAGGCCGAGGCTGGGGCGGAGGGCCTGAGCCCCGGGGCAGCGTACGAAGCGCCTTATTACCAGATGAGCGAGAGCGGCCTGGCCGCCCCCTACAGGCGGAGAGGGGGACTGGTCGATCACCGAGACGTCATCAAGGCCCACGAAGCTCACAAGATGCAGAGCACCCCTCAGGCCAAGCGCAAGGAGTGGGAGTAAGTGACCGACTGACTGATTGGGTGATTCCTCAATGGGTTTGAACGCTGCCTGTTCCAACTGGAGGCCCACGGGCTGCACCCGGCCCCCCACCACCAACCCACCACTCCCCCCCCCCGTTTCACCCGTCCCCACCCAAACCCCCCACCCACTCGCGCTCCCTCCATAATCCACAAATGTCACCTCATGTTATGTCTCTGGAAGGGAAACGCTGAAATATTGCTCATGCGGCTCCCGGATGTTTCTCAAATAGGGCATCCGGCCCTCGGGAGGCAAAAAGCTGGACCACCCCCCCCCTCCCCCTTGGGTTAATGGATCGGGTCAGAGGGGTGCTGCAGATTACAAGGGGTCGTTACTAAGGGATTCAGGCTCGATCGAGGGATCTCAAGGTTTTGAAAAGGTTCAATAAGATCGTCACTCTATGGCTCTAAGCACCACATCCTGCTTTACCCAATTCCAGAGAGTATTAGGCGCAGGTTGGCAAGAGAAAGGCCTGGGGGGTGGAGGGTGTGGGGTAGCCCAGATTGCGCGTTGGGGTAACTGCTGGAATCTAACCAGCTAAACCCACACAGCTTGCCCATTGAGAGAGAGGGAGAGAGCGCTGTCTGGCCAAGCTTTCCCGCTGCTTGTCCAGCTAAGACCACCCTCCCCGTTAGTTAGGGGGCTTTGGCTGCGGGGTTACCAGGAGCTGAGGGGGAGGATTCCCTGCCCCCAGTGACTGCTCTGCCCTTCCAGGTCCTGCTGATGAGTCGGGCCGGGCCGGGTTGGTGCTGTTTGAACCCTGGTGTTTTGAGGCGGTCAAGATATAAGACTTTCCTATTTAACTCCTTTCCCTATCCGCCCCCTAAACACACCCGCGCACACCCATCTACGCCCCCCCACACACACACACCCACCCACACACACACACACACACAACTCACACCCATCTACCCACACACACCCACCCATCCACCCACACACACCCACCCACACACACACACACCCATCCACCTACACCCATCCACACACACCCATCCACCCACACACACACGCGCACACCCACACATACTCACACAGACCCAGGATTGGAGCCTGTTGTGATATTTCTGAGCGAAGGGAAAGATTCTCTCTGTGCTCGGTATCTGCGGCCTGTTTACCAGCGGTTGGCAGTGTTAGCTGTGCTTACGTGTTTAGCCTTTGTCGTTTCCTTGGAACGTTTAATCCAATATTTTAAAGCCTTTCGGGCAGGGGTGGGGACAGATTCCACACCAACTTTCAAAAGGGAATTGGATCGGGACTTGAAGAGGAAAACATTTTGCTAGGGAATGGGGCAAGGAGCCGGGGGAGTGGGGCTGATCGGGCGGCTCCCCCAAAGAGCCGGCACTGGGCCGAATGGCCTCCTTCTGTGTGCTGTGATATTCTGGGGTGTACCTGTGCCCTCCAGGCTGCAGTTGCTTCTGTGCGCCACCGAAGGGCGCCACAGCAACTCCTGACTACCAGTGTCCCATCCAAATGAGCCTTAGCCTGTCCGTCCCGTCCGTCAATCAATGGGTGAATTTTAAGGCCTGGTGGAGCAGAGAGCCTGAGAACTGATTTCCTCCCATCCCCTACCTCCTTCTGCTCTGGCAGAGGGTGTTTTGAGACCTCCTTCAGGGCAGTCAGCCAGACAACGTTCTCACAAGAAGAGAGCGAGAGCGAGAGACAGACTAGAGAGAGAGAGAGAGAATGAGAAAGAGGATAGAAAGGGCACGACAGATGGACAGAGGAGAGACACAGACAGATAGACACAGAGGACAGAGAGGAGAGACGGACGAGAGAGAGGGAGAGGGAGACAGAGAGTGAGACAGGAGAGAGAGAGAGAGAGAGAGAGGAGAGAAAGATACCGGTACAAACACGGAAAGCGAAGATGTTGATTCTTTGAAGAACAAATCTACTAGAAAATCACATCTCAGGGTAGATACAGGGTATAGGTTGTGGACACGAGGGGTCAAAGCCACTGCTAGGAGGGTGGAAGGCGACCTAGATGGACCTCGGTCTTCTTTCGCCAGCAAATACTTATGTTCTTATGAGCCTCAAGCCTCGGCCTGTGTTGGCAGTCAGGGACCTCGCGGGTTCTCTCTCTCTCTCTCTCTCTTCCTCAAAAAGGCTGTGGTTTATGGTTGGATCCATTCACGTTGTCCAGACTGAGGTGGACAGATGCTTGTCAGATCAGGGGATCAAGGGGTACGGGACAAAGGGAAGGTAATTGGAGTTGAGGCTACAGATCAACCATGATGGCGGAACAGACTCGAGGGGCTGAATGGCCTCCTCCTGTTCCTGTGTTACACCAGTAGTGATCGAGGCCGGGTCGACAGAATCATTCGAGAAGGGACCTGGATTAAAACATGCAAAGGGACACGGGGGGAGAGAGTGAGAGCAGGACACAGACACGGGCTGATCTAACAATAAGTTAATAATTAATAATAATAATATCTGATATCTAATAATAATCATGATCTAATAGAATAGTAGAACAGGTTTGAGGGGCTGAATGGCCTCCTCCTGTCC